GAGACGTTTCTTAATTTTTCATTAAAATCACCACTTTTTGACCGCTTATATCTCCAGAACGGCTTGACCGATTTAAAATTTTTTTGGCTCAAATTACTCGTGGCGATGCCGCCTTTCAGGACATATGACGTTCGATTCAAAATTTTTTATATTTTAATAGTTATGCACCTCCCAAAAATGGACTTTGATGGCTCGGGATAAGAGACTTGTAGCGTTCACAGTTTTTTTGAACATCGCCGGAGACGCTACCGCGTCTCCTGATTATTACCATTGTAACCGTCGATGGCGATCATTTAATTGTTACCGTTACGCTCTCTAAAGAGCTATCGATCCCTGTATGACCGTGCGTGCTCGTGCAGTTGATAAAGTCCAAGTATTTACTTTCTAAGTGCCTTTGCATCATTTTGGGAGATCCCTCCGCGGCTCCACCGGTAGTCAGTGGCCGCAAATCCGTTGTTGGCATCAGCCTCCTCAACTGCAGAGGAATACATATTCCTCGACCACGCTTCCCGAGAGGATTCACACCGGGAAAACGCGTGGGGCCAGCCTTCGCAACATTACAACGCGAGGCACGGCCATCTCACACAAAACAAATTGGTCCTTCGAGCCGGATTCAGCGGTAACCATTTGCCACTGATATTGCGGAGCATCCGCCGGGGCTCGCCATCGCCAGTGAGACGAGCACTCGAGGTCCGCCATTAGCAATCTGCCGAGCACGCAAATTCTCATTGGGGATTCGAGACATGCAAGGTTAGCTGCTCTTCAGCCTATAACCTTTTCACCACGACATACCGAGGCTCGCAAACCTAGCTCTTGGTGCATCGAGGTACATCAGTCGTTTCTCGCGACGTCAAGGCACATCCGGCCCAGCAGCGCAGAGCAGCCATTGCCACGCGATCGGAGCAACAGGCATCATCCTGTGACGTCACGCGGTCTTCGGCAGTCTTCATCGCTCTCTGGGAGGACGTCTTCAACGCATCATCTGGCGCATCATCGACGCAGCCATCATAGTGCGACACACGCATTCAATTTTGTAAGGTGAGAGCAACTATCTCAGTGCCGGTGCCAGTAATCAAGTCAATTTTAACGGGTTTATTTATCGTTCTGCGTTCGTCATGCCGAAAGTTGACAACGAGGACGCCGCGTCGCTCCAGCGCAGGCGCAAAATGATTATCGCCGCGTGCACGCGCATATGTACATTTACGGAAGCTATCGCGTCCGTTACGCCGTCAATCGCGGCTCAACTCGGAGAGCGATGTGCTAAACTCGACAGGTACTGGACAGATTATGATAGCGTTCAAACAAACTTAGAATTAATCGACGAATCCGAAGAAGCACATCGCGCTCCCTTCGAAGACTTTCATTATGCTTTATGTGCTCAAATACGCGAATTGCTCTATCCCGCGACTGCGCAACGCGTCGCGGCCTCTCCGTCACGGTGGTCTTCTAGCGTCGTCGGCCGCGAGTCTTTCGGCCACATAAGGCTACCGAAATTAGAATTACCGAAATTTTCCGGGAAATATGACGAGTGGTGCCTGTTCTTTGACAGTTTTAATTCTCTCATACATGAAAACGCGTCGTTAAGTCCTGTTCAAAGGTTGCAGTATTTAAGAGCTTCTCTCACCGGCGATGCATTCAAAGTAATTAGCGCGCTGGAAATTTCCGATACAAACTACCAAGTAGCATGGGACCTTTTAAAGGAACGATACGATAACAAACGCGCTATTGTGCAGAGTCACACTGAACCAAAAATGTACGTAAATACAATAAAAATATTCATTGGTATAACTAAAAAGTTCATTAAAATTGGTCCAATGAACAATTTTATTTCTATAATGATTTAGGTTTTATAAAATTATTAATTTGAGTTATTAAACTATTACCAGAATTCATTGTGACAATGAATATATACATTAAAATAGTCTGCCATGGATTTTTTATAATAACCAAAAACTTTATTCATTCAATGAATAATATCATTAAATTGTGCATTAAACTTTATTGTTATTAATGCATGTAAACGTTAATTTAATGAATGATATCCTTACTTTATGATCACGTTTATTGATATTATGAAATGATATGATTAACTACTACTTTGTATTAATAGATTTTTTCATAGATTTATTAAAAAGCTTTATTGAAATAATGCATTGGTAATTGTCAATTCAATGAATGATTTCATTAGTTTATGATCACGTTTATTGATATTATGAAATTATTTGATTGATTACTGCATGGTATTAACGAATTTTTTCATAGATTTATTAAAAAGCTTTATTGAAATAATACATTGGTAATTGTCAATTCAATGAATGATTTCATTAGTTTATGATCACATTTATTGATATTATGAAATTATCTAATTGACTACTACATTGTATTAATGAATTATTTTCATAGATTTATTAAAAAGCTTTATTGAAATAATAAACTTAATAATATTATTAATAATATTAAAATAATTTTTTTCCTAAAAAAATTTTGTTTAATTTTCGAATCCTCTTCTTTCAATGCTTAATACATTCATGTACTGACACTTATAAACTACTGGCTTATATAATGGTTCAAATGAAGTCAACAAGTTTCTCTTATAAAATGATGTTTATTTTGTTAGGCTTATTTGTTGTTAAGTAACGTAAAAACTGTTTAGTTTTAGTACAATTTATTAGTCATCGGATGTACATTAATAATTATACACATATGTATTAGATGTACAAATTAGTTCGGTCCGTTTTTTGTGTTCAAAGATGCATTTATTTCAAAACAGAATGAATGAACAGATTAATTAAAATATTGTTCATCTCTGGCTACTTTGGAAAACGGACCGAACTAATTTGTACTCTCAATGTATAAAATTAATTATATGTATAATATCAATTTCAAGAATAACTTGAGAGTAAAATTGAAAGTAAAAACTGAAAAACAAATTTTTTTAATTACTCTGTAATAAAAAAAGAATATGTGTAAAAATTTACATAAGAAAACTTACTCTCCGAATTACTAGTTTAAAAATAGATAGAAGATGTAACAAAACATTTTCCATCACACGAGGTATTATTGCGTAACCATATCGAAATCTCATAAAGATCACGACTGCACGAACACATTTCGAAGTAGGAACAAATACAACATCTACGCAACGAGGACTCTCTACACTAAGAAATAGTGGTGTGAAACAACAACGGTTAACACCATGATACAGTTAATGTTTTTATGTATCTTTAAGATTTTCTATTAATATATGAACTTTAGAAAAGGAATCATTACTTTTAATTTCAAAAAAATTAGATTCTATAAAGTTCCAAAATATTAAGCTTTCCATTGGATAATTTAAATTGAAAACATGAAAAACTTTAAATACTATATCAACTGCCCTCAGAAAGCTGTTAAATGAATATTTAACATCGTCGAAATATACGTAAATATCTGTTACTTTCGAAATGTCTTCGCCAACGCACATGATGAACGGTTGAATACATTCCTTTTTATTTTTCAGATACATTAGATGATCTTCTATTTCTTGGGTACATTTGCCAATGTAAACAAAAGATTCTTGAGAATCTCTAATAGTAAATTTTGTGGTATTTTTTTTGCCAGTCGAATCTTTTTTAACAATTACTTTGGTTGGAACCAAGTAACCATGGAGGCTCCAAAAAACTGTCGCATCACGACCATCTATAAAATTAAATCAAATAAAATATATTTTTAAGTAACAAAATAATATAATATTTGATAGCTTAATAACATGTGTTATTCTAAATTCCTATATAACAAAATAATATAACTTACTTTCAGAAAGTGTCTCCTGTTTTAACAATCGTAGGTATGCTTTTATAGTTTTATCTTTCACGTGATTCTCTTTGCATAAAAACGATATTAGATTATTTAAGCAACTCTCCCACTTACTTAATAGGCCATTTCCTGTGTCGAATAAGACATTAAAATCCATGTCAATCTGTAAAACATTTTAATAATAAAGTACTGGAAAAATATTAAGATTCAAGATACTTGAGCATCAAAAATTGTTAGTCAATGATAATATTGCAGTAGTTTATTAATGTTTGCATTAGACTGAAAAATTTTTCGGTGCGCGTTTTTTGGGGGACTACATACGCGGTATATAAATTCACATATAATAGCACTAAGATCCAGTTACGATCATAATAAGCCATTTTTCCTTATTATTTATTTATCATGTTTACGTATACGGTCTTATAATGATTTAATATTCGTTTGAAAAAAATATGTTCACAATAAATTTACATATGAATATTATTAGATATCAAGATCTGCTTCGACCGAAAATAGGTTATTTCTCTTAATTGATTATGTCTTTATGAATATCTGCCAAAGATTGAAGATTGAATATAGAAAGAATTATATCATAAATAGATTTAAAATATGAAAAGTAATAATAAAAGTAACAGTTAAATTTTTTACCATTATCAAAAATTAAAAAATGTAACTACATTACCATTATAATTATCAAAAAGAAAGTAACACCGTTATCAGTCCGTTACAAAAAAAAATAACTTGTAATGGTAACAGCGTTATAAGTAATGAGTTATTTCCATTCCTTCTATATTTCGCAATAAATTCTTCACGTTTTTTAGATGTTTATATAAAGCTTATATCATAATTAATTGACTATCAATCTATTTTAAAAATCAATTTGTTTGTCAGTTTAAAATTAATATAGGTATTTAATATAGTAATAATTAATATAGTAATACATGTATACCAATCTGAAGCCAGAAGAGTTTTTATAGAAGGGCCACTTTTCAAAAATAGCTGCTGTGTTTGCAAAACTATTTATTTCTTTTAATCGATGTTGGCCACATGCCTTCCAACAGTTATCAAATTCTTCCGATGACAATTTATTAAATTTGAGTGCATTAATGCAATTTTCCGCATCGTCTTCTGGAACTAAAAAATTTAACATCATTGCTATGTAATTTTTAAACCACATAAACACTTACCAAATATTTTATGATGTTTCTGTTGAGTCAATTTTAATTTTTTTTCTTTTTTTGGTAAAATATGTTTTCCAACTGCTGTACTAATAGAAGATTTTAAATTGGCAAATTTATTATATAATTTTCCTCGTTTAGATGTTCGATAATATTCCTATAAAAGTATTTTATAAAGTAATTTTACAAAGATAAATATTCAAGATATTGCATTTATTGTTCTTGTCAATGAAAAAATAATTAACTTGATCCTATCTATATATGTATATGTATATTTATACTGTTTACTTTTAAACAATTATATTTGTTAAAATTTAAAATTATAAAAATTTTAAAATTATTATAGAAAAATAAAAAAATAAGTAAAATAGTATTATACAGCAAATTGTATAAAGTAAAATTATTAAAAGCATTTTTCAAATATAAATACCTTTTACAAGATTTATAATTTATGATTTTAATATTTACATTTTTGTTTTTATGCAAATAATTTTCAATATTTTTAGGATTTAAAATTTTGTTTCATTTTCAATTAT